TTTCTAGGCTGTATAATCCTCCTGACTGTCTCAGAACGGATATATTAACCTCAGAGAAGAAAGTATCGTGTTTTGTGTCATTTTATTTGTCTTGATGTTTCAAAATGACTCGCTTGTGTGCTTTTCCTATGCGCACCGGCGCAAACTGCTGCACACTCATACAAATGCACGAATACACTGACTGGGGATTTTCACTTAATAATAGATTACATTTTTAATTTGTTTCTTGGCAAACCCTACCATATGCCTTAAGAACACGTGGAATACGGAACAAGCTGCATTGGATAATTTTATTATATTTGAATCCTTTTTGTAAAAAGATTTAAGAAGGTTACTTCATTAAATGGACAAGTACAAGCATTTTTTTTTCAATCATGTCTTCTTTTGTGATCCACAAATAAAAATAAGTCTAATATGGCTTTAGAATAGCATCAGGTTAATTCATTATTTACTTAAGTTGTGAAAAGGTAAATAAACTATACGAGAGAGCAAGCAACACAAGTGTTAGGCATAAAAGAACATGCTTAGTTATTGTGTTGGGGCCCCCAAAAAATGAGGGGAAGTCGTGGCCTAATGGTTAGAGAGTCGGACTCGTAACCCAAAGGTTGCGGGTTCGAGTCTCGTACCAGCAGGGGTTGTAGGTGGGGTGAGTGAATGTACAGCGCTCTCTCCCACCTTCAATACCACGACTGAGGTGCCCTTGAGCAAGGCACCGAACCCCCAACTGCTCACTGTGACATGTCACATCACTTTTCACTTTAAATCACTAAGTCCGCCCCGATTCAGTTAAAAAGTTGACTTGTCTAAATCAGGAGAGAAATATGCACCGATCAAGCACCGTTTACAATTGAAAACAGTCAAAAACAGTTCTAATCAAATATGTCAGCATGATTATGGATTATGGACTCATATGTTGGCCAGAAGCAATTATTTAAAATTAATGCATTAACGCATTAATAATGGATTTTCATTTTGGGTGGAACTATTCCTTTAACCCAAATTACCGATCAAAGACATAATAGTCGAAGAAAAATGCAATCCAAGGCTTGTGGACCGACCCTGTTCAGACCATTTTTGCTAAATGTTCAGTTGCTAGTTATCTTTTTAAGCCCCTGAAACATTCCGTACAATGATGCAAGACCTTGAGATACACAAAAACCCAGCCAAGCCTCTCGTAAAGGATATCTGATAACAATGGGCACTCCATCACAATGTAACCTCCACAGAACACACTATTCTTCAATGTCTGCCTGAAACAACACGCTTGCCAGCTTACCTACAATTCTCAGCAGATGACAAGCATTCTGTTGATTAACCAATTCTCACTCTCATTTCTACTGGCGTGTGCTGAATGACCTTAAGACAGCTGAAATAGCAGAGGAAACACTTGGCTTATCACTGCTAATTAACACACTACAAGATAGCACCACTGGCAGTGTGAGAAACGTTTTTGCATTATAATACAATGCAATGGGAGCTCAAAAACACAAGTTGCCTTTTAAGATAGCACAAGCTCTCTTTTTACTTGTATGTTTAGTGCTGTTGTCAAGAGTACATTTACCAATAAGATGCATTCAAGGGTTTTTACGATGCACACAAACATTTAAACTTCGCTTAACCATGGCTCTTCAGTGTTGAAATTACAGCCTTATAAAAGATGCCATTAGGATAGACTTGAAAGTAAAACAAAAAAATGTCTCATGGGTTTCTTCTGTGCATATGAGTGAAAAAAATGCATCCCAAGTATTCAGGTGTTCAAAACACCCTATAATCATACCCAAATATATCTGATTTAGGGAGAAAAAATGTGCAATGTATTTATACAGTGAGAAAAACTTAAATAGATATAAGTTCTACTGTCTTATTGGTAGCTGTAAACATAACCAGATTAGTCAAAAAAACTATTTAAAGGGGTCATAGGATGCAACATGCACTTTTACAAGTTGTTTGAATTACTCTGATCCAAACCGTGTGGCGGAGGCGCGGAGAGCGCGCGTGCGAGCCGAAGCATTGCCACGACTAACCGATTCATGATTTATTCGAGATTTAATAATCGAATGGCGAATTCAACAGTTACATTTATTTTGTAATTAAATTACGTAACGCCGTTACATGTAACTAGTTACTCCCCAACACTGGTGACGTCACACAGACAGGCCCCTCCAACGATAGTTTGATTGAAAAGCCAGATAGTAAAAAATTTCTCATGTAGGATTGGTCAATAATTTTTTTTAAGGAAGGACTTAGCGAAGGGACAATTCTGGGGGATATTGTTGGGCTTTTCATTCAGACTCTACACTTATGTTCCAGGATCTACAAAAAACAAGACAAGTTCAGTCCACACTGTTTCCCAACCCTGCTGCTACACAATAATTTTTATGATTAACACAAAGCTTATCACAAAGCACAGAGGACCTGACGGACATTATTTTACTGCTATGTCAGTGCTGCAGAGGAATATAGGTCTGTAAACAGCTTGTGACATCAGGAACTGTATATTATATGTATTCATTAAAAATGCCACCCACTGTACAAACCTCAAAAAGCTAACAGACATCTGGAGTGATCAGCATGTTTTCCCCCAAGGCAGATGTCTCAAAAAAAGATAATCTTCTCACAGTCACTCTGCCTTTTAGAAAATGCAGTTTAAATCATACAAATATAATCTGCAGCACGATATTAAATCTACGAGCTCAAGGAGCCCGGAAAAATGAGTTTGTGGGCAGTGGCTGTGTTTTCCTCTGACAGTGATCTCTGATCTCCAAGAGGATTGGTTTATTTTTTTCAAGCAAATTCCTCATTTTTTCATCCTTCGTGTTTTGATCATTGAGAAATTAGAAAGTGGAAATGGTAAAAGTGGACGTGTCAGTGCTCCGATCAAGCCCCTCTCTGTCGCCCACTACAGCTCCCGACTCATTTACACACTACTCGATTTCCATGAACACACAGCATATATAAAATGAGAGATTAAAGTATTCTTACAACAAAAGAAACAGAACCTTGCATGACGATTTTAAAAGACAATCATTTCAAATAATTTAAAAGTATAAAAGGGGAACTATATTCACAAATAATATGTTTTATGTCTTATATATGCTTGATGTGTTTCCTGTAATCGGTGCAAGTTTAACCAATGTTTTATAACCCCTTTTAGTAGATAAGATTATTAATGTGTATGCAAACTACCCGATATTTGAGCTTGAATGAAAGCTTATTTTATGTGCGAAACTTTGGTATGAATGAGAAGTGGGAAATATGTACGATACTTGCATTAAGAGACTTTATAGAAGTATTAATAAAATCTGGCAAGGATGTTCCCATGTGATAAATTGAAGCATCATGTTAATTTATGCATGAAGAAGAACCTTGCGGGGCGTGGCCCTGCCCTGCAGCCAATATCTGATTGGAACCACAACCTGTGGGACGGACTTATGCAGCTGGATCAAAAACCCAATGTCCGAACGGATTCAGTGCCTTTTCGCCTTTGTGTTAAATCGCGCTCCAAGTCGCGCACACACACTGCACCATCAAGCGATCAGGTCATCCAGAACTCAAACATTTTGTTGAAACTTCGTGACTGCCAGAGATCTTCAAAAGCCTAAAGTCTTGCAAACTCTGACTCTCTCAGAAGAACTCCAAGCATCACTCTCCGTGCCTAAGGCAACCGACTTTCAAAGCTCCTACGTCACAAGGCAACTTCCATTCACCAGAGGGATCTCCCAAAAGGACGTCATCCAAACGACAGATCGGCAACCAATCAGAGGCTCTGTGAAATGTGAAATCCCTCTCGGCTTTCCAGCGCAAATGCACGTAACACACAAAATCTTTTCATCTCTTGCTGAACTGGTGCTGAATTGAGTTTAAGCAGTAAACATAAGCCAAGTCTCTGCTTTTATGAGTTTTCTCAGGTTGAATTTAAAGAACTCGTAGAAAACGAGTATTAGAACTTTGGGAACTTCATGCAAATGCAGCAACTCATTTCCTGAACCTTTTGTGTGTATGTGTATGTGTATGTGTGTGTGTGCGTTTTAGCTTAGTTTAATGTGCCATAGAATAGCAAATAAACTTTTGTTTAATTTATAAAGAAGTATTGTCTTGTGTCGTGTATTTTTAAAGTTAAACCCTGCCCAGATCCGGCTACCTAGCTCGTAGCTTATAAATGATCACAAGCATGTATTAACCTTTGGCCAGGGATAGTACAAATATTCAAACTGGTAAGATATACTGATGTTAACGTCTCGCTGGACGAACGGTAGATCAAGTGTAAATTATCAAATTTGGAATCAGTTCAATCAGGTTGATTTTGAATCTTCAGATTCGATTCCCCCTCTGAAAAGAGCTAAAATAAAAGAGTTAAATTCCTTACAGTGCATATATATATATATATGTATATAGAACTGTTTTGTTGAATATGAAAAGTTCACACTCTTCACTGAAAAAAAAAATAAAATAAATTAAATTAACAAATTATTTTGTTTGTAGGCTTACTGTACACTGATCCGTAATGTACACTAGTTAATATATATACTACTGATATATTACCCTTTCTGTTCAATTCACAAACAAATAAATCAGTTGGTGCTTTGTTTTTTTTATCAAATCATTTGGCGAATCAGTCAGAAACAAACCACAAGTCACTTACTTAAAAGCAGATTTATATTTCTTATTATATAACTGAGAACTAAAACTGTTCATTTATGCCTCGTGAAAGCAATGTGAAAAATGCAAATCAATATAATTTAAGTATTGTTGTTCTTATGACAACAAAAAGATACATATATAAAATAAAAAGATACATATATAAAATAAAATAAAAAAAAAACTGTTGGAAAAAATATTTTGATTACTATTTAACATATTTTCGGGAAAAGGCTAAACAAAATTCTGAGTATATGGCATTCCTAAAGACAAAGAGTATTCTACGATACTTTTTGACGTGAGATATGAACACATGCAACTTGTCTTGTTTGATGTGTAAAGCTCAAGTGCTTTCTTCTCACCTGCTTGTTTGAATCTCTGGATCAAGCGCTCTCTGATTCCCTTCTGCAGGTTGAAGTAGTCATCCTCTTCGTCAGGTTTATGGAGGAAGAGCGGAATGTGCTGGAAGACAAGCACGTGGCGGGAGGGGGTATGGATGGCTCTTTGCAGCTGGCTCTCCAGCCAGACCTCATGGGCCTCCATTAACTCAGGGCAGCCTGATGAGTCGAAGAAGAACTGAGAGTTCAACACCAAACACAACACCCCACCCACCCAAAAACTAAAGTAATCATCGCCCCAGTCACGGCAGAACTGCTCCACGCTCTCCGGAGTGGGTGTGTTGCCAAGATCGTGGTTGCCACTGACGAACACTAGAGGAATGTCGGGGTCACTTCCTCTCAGTGCTTCTTTGAGGTCCTTAACCTGTTCTTCTCTGAACGGACATCCTGAAAAATTAAGAGATTTTTCTTGGTTGAAAAGCCTCATTTAAGTAAGTACTGTATGTCTTAGCATGTCAATAAAATAACATCTGCAACCCAATTTAATTCCTTAATGAGCTCCATACAACAGGATATTCAGCAAAATTATTTATAATATTTATATTTTCATTTGACCTATTTTTTTATATTTCCACACATTATCCCAAACATACATTTATATTTTCTTCTCTGGAATAAGAGATAACTGCATAACAGGAGCAAAAAAGACTATATACATAAAAACTACAGTTAAATCCTCCGGAGCAATATTGAGCACAGCAGCAATGAACATAGCAGGAACAGTCGGCTTTCAGTGGAAAATAAGATGCAGCACCAGACATGAGGCATGTGATAGTACATAAATACTATCTTCAATGGCTCTTTCCATCTTCAAAAGAATACTGAAGTAGGCAATATGTGGAGGATTCAGAATAAAGTTTCTGTCTCATACAGAAGATAGGAAAGCATCCAGTCTAACCGCATTTCTCTAAAGTAAAGGCAGACTGTCAAGCGATGAGTTTTGAAGCTCATTAATAACAGCCTTAGGTTACCTCTAATATGACAAATAGGGCATCTTGCTAATTGCCTGCTGTGAATTTGAAACTCAATGAGTAGCAGAGTTGAAATTAGAGTTGGCATTAGTGACTGTGGTGTTGTGAATGCTAGACAAAGAAAACTAAACCAACAGACCATGATTCTAGTCTATGGAGAGAATTAACTGCCTTTCCAACACCTTACTAAAATGTGTACTAAAAATTTTGATCCATTTTTTTTGTAAATTATTATCAAGCAACCCTCTACAATGCAAGCAAATCACACACATATGCGACCAAATTGCGCATCAGGATGCTAAAGAATGCCTGTCAATAGCCACTGGCTAGTAAATTGTTATATTTCACCTGCCGGTGGGTTAAAGAGAGGCTAAAAATAGCCTTAGTAGTTCAGAACAAATATACATTCACTGTATGTTGTGTCCTATGACTGTTTTCTCTCACATGCATACAAAGATAGAACGCGAGAGAGTCTGGCATAAAGAATTGGTATGCTAGATGTAAAAGTTATTCTTTTCCAAATGGTACTTCCTGTCATGATGGCGATACACAGATCTTTTCCACTGACAAAGTGACAATGGTTAATAATTTCCATGACCACAGAAAAAAAAAGCCAACAATAAAAAAGTAGCCCATATAACTCTTTTTTTGTGTGGCAAAGGTCATACAGGTTTCAAAATAGATAATAGACTAAATTAAAAAAGATAAATAATAAATTACTACTTAATAATAAATTACAGAATTTTCATTATGGCTTCAAATAAATAAAAATAAATTGCATTGAAGCAACTTCTTTTTTTATGTGTTAGCAAGTGTACTTGGTGAGAATAGGCCAATTACTACTCTTACTTTGTGATCAATGCCATTATCAATGCTGAATCTGAGCCACACTTTGACTTTCTCTCTGAGTTACGTAACATTCAATTTCAACAGGTCCCCCATTTCTCCCAGCTGTGCCAAATCCCACAGAAATCTATTAAAATCTCTCCCAAAAGAGATCTCTATCAGTTAAACATACAGAGAAGAGAGGGCTCTTCCAGAGCTGATTTCCCCCTGGTCAGCCCACTGATGTGCAGCTGCTCCTCAGAGAACTTCACTTTTATCCACTTTCAACAGCAATTAAAAACCTTACGTATGTGGAAGGTGAAACAGAAGGATATGAAAACCTCCACCTCACTTTCTGAGTTGTCCCCTACCACAGCACACACAAGTCTACAGGCAGCAGGCAAACGTTTTTATAGTCCCCATAAGGAAAGCATCAGGTTCAGTGCTCTCCTAATCTAATCACCTCCCTCGATGATCTCTCCTGCTGCCAGTCAGGAGAAGTCCTTGAACCGGAAAGCTCACAAGGATTCTGTGCCGATATCATGGAGCGGCCCTTCAATTACCGAGTGGAACTTTACTTGTCCAACATGCTGCCGCTGACTGTTCATTATCGCAGACAGAACACAGGAGGTAGAATGGCTGAAATAAAATCAGATTTGGTCGCCAATGAGGTTTGAAGAGTCACAGCACGTGTTTAATGAAGGAAATATTGACTGACAGGGTTGTTCTAAACCTTGAGATAGCCAATACAACGGTCATAAAAAGGGATACTTCACCTAAGAATTAAAGTTCTTTCACTAACTCTCATGTCGTTACCAAAACAGTATGATTTTTCTTCCATAAACCACAAAAAGAGATGTTAGGCAGGATGTTTTTGCTGCTCTTTTCCATATAATGTAAGTAAATGGTGACCAGGGCCATGAAGTAGATATAAATTAACAAATTATTAATTGAAAAATGTCATTATATTAGTGTGATTTGAATGTGCACATATTCAAAGTGTGTCACAAATGGTTACGAGCATACATAATGTACACAATATTACTGCTTTTACTGTATTTTTGATTAAATAAAATGTTTCTTTCAAATACATAAAATCTTACCGACCTCTTAGGCATACGTGAATGCGAATGAGATTTCAGAATTGCTGAGAAAATTTCTTGAATAACAATTTAATTTAACAATCTGTTGCTTACACAAAGCTAACATATGGTTTGAGAAGACTTGGAATATAGCACAAAAGTTGTTTGGATTACTTTTATTTTACATTTAGTCATCCGGTCACCATTCAATTTTACTGTGTGGAGTGGGTCATATGGCTTTTTAATGACAAAGTAAATGATGACATAATTTTCATTTTGGGGTGAAACTTCAAATCAGATTGACATATTCCACCATTGAGGAATATGGTGGAACGTCTCCACAAGCTCTCTGTAAGATCCTCAATCAAAAATATACAGCAAGCTTCCAGCAGTTGAAACTGCAGAATTCAAGGATGCCTGCTTCGAGTTTATGTGAGTCGAAAGAAAAAGTTGATCACAAAGACACAGCAATGCCTCTTTTCCCAGGAGAAGTTTGGGATGTCCCCCAAGATACAGATACTCTTTTACAGGTGCACTATAGCCTCCTGTCAAGTAGTATTACTGTCTATTGTGTGAGCTGCACAACACAGAACCTGCTCAAGGTGTGATGGTCTGAATGAATCACAGAGGGTATACAACCCAACCTGCAGGATAACCACACCAGGAAGAGCACGACTAAAGCAAAAAAAATAAATCATTACGGATCCCTGCCATCCAACAACAGCCTCTTCTCACTGCTGCAGTCAGAAAAAGCCTAGCAAAGCCTTGGGGTCAATACTGAGAGGTTCTGGAGGAGCTCCTACACCCAAACTATCCATACACTTAATGAGGAATCTGCCAGGGGCCTGCAACACTAACAACACAGCAGAAATGCATCCCGTGCATATGAACTTTATAACACATACATATTGCTATTATGGTCGTATCATCCAATAATCATTTATTTTTCTTTTGCACACCCTCATAATTTGCACTTTTGTATATAGTGGAAGAATTTTAACACTTGTTTGTTAAAATATTAACTATATTTTTTATTTGTTTTTAACATGGCACTGAGTTTATTTATCACCCAGCCATGTGTATAACGTAAAAAGACACAAACCGTAGGTTATGCAATGTTTACAAGTGGTTACAAAACAGCACCTGCTGTTAACACCAGGCTAGGCAAGAACTCTTTTCGGCAGTGCATCTGCTGAATGAGTAATAATTTTAAGTATAACTTCAATAATAAATGAATAATAGAATGATTTTTGAGCACATTTTAAGGTACAGGAAAGTGTGGTAAGTTTTACAGTCATGACTGTGACTTGATATCTCATAGTGTGACTTATAACTCACAGTTGTGATTTTATGTGTCTTGTAATTGCGTCTTTAAACTATGAGTTATTTTTTTATTTTTAATGGTAACCCCTTTACTTTTTTTTGTTTACTCGGAGGCAAAAACCGGCATATAAAATGTCATTAAATTAAAAAAAAATCTACTGTATAACTTTGTACATGTATCTGATTTGATGTTTAACAATAATCAATTAATAATAGGATAATTAGGAGATGTTAAGGTAAAGGGTAAGGCACTAATTAAAAAAAATATATATGAAAGCCACCTGTTTCAAAAAAATAATACTTTCCTATATATCTTACAATGTGACTTGTTTCTCACAAATTGCAATTTTAGACTTGTAACTGCATCTTAAAAATGTGTATTTAGTTCCTTGTTTATCTCACAATAACATCACCTTATTTTATTTTTTTACTCTGAGGTGGAAACTGGCAATAAACTTTAAATGAAAATTCTACATTAAAACGACTGTACACATTTCATTCTGTATCTGAAATGACTTTAACAAAACCATTTCTTTTGAATCAAAAATGAAAAATTAATTCTTTGAGTCAACCATGAAAATTGCTATAGAAGCTTTGTCAAAACATGTGTTTTGCAGCCTTGTCTAGATATAATCAACCATCACTCAAGACTGTCAGATCAGAGTCACACCCGTTTTTCTTTTATTTGTCTGCTGGTGTGTTTTTATTTTTCCTGTGATTTTTATTGTGATTGAAGACCAAAGATGAGCAAAGGCAAATAAAACCTTGAGGAAGCTGTTTTCTTTCACTGACTTCTGCTATCAAAGCCCTAATGATTAATGAAGAAGTGATGAGGAGGAAGTGGCGTAGGTCTGGTGAAGCCTGTGCGGGGCAGAGAGAGGAAACACGCTGCATGACAGACATGGCGTGTAATGCATATGGCATCCTTTGTCTGCTCTTCTGGCCTGACACTAATGGGTGTTGACACCAGGCCGTTTAAAGGTCTCCAAACCTCATAAAGTTCCATAGCTGTGCCTTTACAGGCAGCTTATCATAACCTGACCTATAAATTACATCCAGCAGGGAAGCCACAAACCTGGGCTCATATTAAATCAAGCAAATATGACACTTCAGAGTTCCCTCGGATCCTAAATGGGGATAATCTGATAAGTCAGCCATTGAAAAAACAGTAACTGTCAACATCTGGGTGATTTAAATTCATGCGGTGAGAAACATTTATGACAGCTTTAAATGTACTGTCACTTTGATACTGGCACTCAAGTGCAAGACAATCAAGCGCAAGAAACATTGACTCAGAGACCCGAAACTTGAAACCTAATGTACAAACACTCTCGTCACCTTCACAGGTAACTACCGCCTAGCCTTCAGAGGTTATTTTTTATTTCCCTGTGTGCTTTGCAGTTTGAGCTGAGGCAATTAGATAAGTGCCGGACCCTCAGCTCCACAAGCTCCATTTCATAATAGCCACCTCAAAGATTAGAGACGACAGAAGAAGAAAAGACTTGAAAAAAAGACTCTTGCCTCTTCAATCATAAACAAAAAATAAATGAACCCTAAAGTGAGCTTTTTGTCTAATAAATACTAAATAATCCTGTTTCTTATTTATATCCTGCATCTAATCTTTTATATTGATCTATCAACCAATTCAAAAATGTTAGTATTCAACAGCAATACCAGTTAAATTGCAAGATGTTTATTTCCAATAACTAATATGCAACACACTTATTTAGCTTATATTAATAATAAACATATATAAATAGTAATATAATATATAGAATTTTGTTTTTCAAATGTTTTTCAAATGTTTTTCAAACTATTAAACATTATTTAATTTTAGATTTAAACTATTAAATATTATTTAAATAAATACAATGTATTGTAGCATCTAAGCATTTCACAAATAAACATTACTTCATGTTCATTATTAGATATTTTATTTATTAGTTATTAAAAATATGAGCAAATTACAAACAATAAGACAAATACCACAAACAAAGATACAAAAGAAATAAAGTGCTTTATGTTTCTCCGGTTGGTCTATCTGACAGTTGTACTATGCAGGTACGAAATACTATAGAAACTGAATAATCAAATGTAAAAATTAAACACTGCATAGTCTTCACTGTATGAATTAAACATATTGATTTTTAATACAACTACTAAAGATTACATCAAGAGCAGTGAATTATTGTTTTGTTTTCTTTTGTTGTTTGATTCAAACTAACACCACAGACAGCAGCAGGTATATTATAGTGATGTCACTTTAAGACTGTACGAATATACTGTGTAGCAATATACACCATATAGCAGAATCTCTACTGATTCACACTTTATATTGTTGCCACGCTATATATACAGTTGCATGCAAAAGTTTGGGCACCCTTGATAATTATCATAATTTCATTGTATAATCTGCTGGACTTTCGAAGCAGCAACTTCATTTGGATATAATTTATACCTTATGGAAACCGTAACATTTCAGTTCTGAAATATCATCAGAAACAATGCAATATGAATCATAACAAAAACACATAGGTGCAAAAATTTGGCCACCCCAACAGAATAATGGCATCAATATTTAGTACAGCTACCTTTTGCTGAAATAACAGCCGGTAGATGCTTCTTATAGCCACTGATAAGTCCCTGAATTCTCGCTGCAGGTATTTTGGACCATTCTTCCATGCAAAATTTCTCCAGTTCAGGCAGGTTTGATGGCTCCCGAAGCATGGACTCAATTCAACTCGCTTCAAATCAATCCATAGATTTTCAATTATATTTAATTCTGGGGACTGGGGGTGGCCATTCAAGAACATTGTACAGTATCTGTGTCTGAGCATGAATTCTTTGGTAGATTTGGAACAATGCCAATTGTTCTGATGAAACAACCAACCCTGGCGTAACTTCAAACTCTTGACTGATTTTTCAACATTGTTCTTAAGAATCTGCTGATACTGGGTGGAATCCATGCGACCCTCAACTCTGACATGGTTTCCAGTACACGTGCTTGCCAGATAGCTCCACAGCATGATGGACCCTCCACCAAATTTTACAGGTTCTTCTCCTGGAATGCTGTGTTCTTTTTCCGCCATGCATGCAAAGCGTCTCTGGTTGTGACCAAATAACTCTATCTTAGTTTCATCTGTCCACAACACATTATTTGGCTTGTCCAGGTGAGCCTTTGCATACCTCAAACGACTCTGCCTGCTGGCAGTATGCAGAAAAGTCTTATTATGCATCACCCTTCCATTTGGCTGTTACTTGTGCAAAGTGCACTGGACTGTGGAAAGATGTACAATGACAATATCAGCAACAATATGTTCTTGGAGCTCGTTGGAGGTGGTCTGTGGTTTGTCTGTGACCATTTTAACCACTCTTCACCTTTGCCTTTCAGATATTTTTCTCAGCCTACCACATCTTTCCTTCACAAGGACTGTTTCTGTTGCCTTCCATTTTCTAACTATATTTCTGACTGTGGAGGCAGTAACCCTTAAACCTTTGTGATAATTTTTTGTATCCTTCTCCTAATTCATATTGATAAATTAGCCTAAATTAGTCATTAGAGAGTTCTTTTGAGGTTCCCATGCTGTTACTTTCAAGTAGAGAATCAAGGAGAAGCAAAGATAGTAATCAGCTACCTTTAACATCCTTTTTCATGATTGGTTGGACTTGTGTTTGCAGTGTTATGGTTCATTGAGTCAATCAAATACATTTTTTGTGTTGCAATTAATCAGCATTAAGTGACTACAAGTATTAAAATCCACACAAACGAGAGGGTGCCCAAACTTTTGCACAGCCATCTTTATTTCATACAACTTAATACTGCTACACTAAGAGTTAATGTCTGAAAAACATTCCATTATGCAGCTTTCTCTAGAAACTGAATGGCATATTACTAAGATCTTTTCTTATAAAGAAAAGTATTATTCTTCTTTCAGACGAATACAATCAGAGTTATATTAAAAAATATCCTTGCTCTTCCAAGATTTATAATGGCAGTGTTTTGCCATTTCAAGATTTTGAAGCCCAAAAAATTACATCCATACATCATAAAAAGTACTCCACACGGCTCTGGGGGGTTAATAAAGACTTTCTGAAGTGAACTGATGCATTTGTGTAAGAAAAATATCCTTATTTAAAACTTTATAAACCGTAATCTCTAACTTCCGCTAACTGTCGTACTCGCGTTCACGTGAGAGTGGCCAAAAAAATATACATATGTACGAAAAAGGTTCTTCAGATTATTAAAATATTATTCACACTAAGAATAGTTCTTCTTTTACTTCTTTTAAGAACTATTCACAGAAAGGTTATTTGGGGTACACAAAATGTTCCTTCTACTAAATTGCTATAAAACCACCTTTTGGAACCTTTTTAGGTATATTTTTTACTATAGAGGTCTAAAATTTCTGGAGAAAGCAAAAATGCCTTTAGCATTCCAGCAGCACCATTTCAGTGGAACAGGTGGCTTACCAGGCATAGCATGGACCAGGTCTCCACACAGGACCAGGAAGCGAGGTCTGGGCTGTAGTTTGTTGATTGCCTGAACTGCCTGTTTTGTGAGCTGAACCTCCTCGGTCCACTCATCCCCTCCTGAATCACAGTCACCAATCCTCCACGCCTTCATCAGGCCAAGCTGGGGGTCCGCAGCCTGGATGAAGTAAAAGGGCCCACTCCACTCCTTCTGTTCATCTGGAAAGAACAGGAGAAAATAACCTGAAGCTGACAAACCATCTACTTTAAATATCTCAATTATTAATGCTGTGCTTGTGGATAATGCATACAATGTTTTGCATAATTAAACATTACATAAGATGCTAACAATCAAACTGTTTAAAGTATTTATAAAAATCTTTATCTCAAGTGAGAGAGTCACAGTTAAGGGCACAGCTCTAACACCTGGAACACGCCTGTCGTATAGAAACTTCAGCTGTATATAACACCTTCACAGCAGTTCTTGTGTTATAAGGAAACAAAAACGGCAGGAAAAAAGTCGATTTTCACACCTCAGGGTTTACAGCGCAAATACAGCTCAGAAACAGTTTTTACCCATGATTCTTTGAGAAACTTCCAGCATTAAAACTTGGTCAAAATATAAATTAAGACGATACCCCTGCTGGGAACATCATACAAGTCTTGTCTTTGCTTTCCACTACACTCACTTACACTGAGTGTGTGAAGAGGTTTTTGACAGAGCAGCAAGCCTCAAAAGCTAGAAGAAAAATAGAGAATTTCTTTCTGTTCCTGATCCTGACTGTGCAGCCTAGTAGGAAAAAAAATGTTATGATTCTGTTTTATCCTTAGCTACACATTGTCATATGAACAACTAGTCAATAACCTCAAAGATTTATGTCTCACAATTATAAATTGTGTGATTCACTAAAAAGACCCGACTCATAAAAGTCATTCGTTGGGGAGTTAGATTACACAGATTGTGCAGTATCTTGCAGTATGGCCAGGCTACACTTTTTGCCGTTAATGTTTTTGATTCACTGTAAGAAACGTTTCATAAAATTCATTCATTCGGTAACCGGGCTACACTGAATTTGGTGTATGTTTTTTGATTCACAAAAAAAAAAAAAACGCTCAATAAGAGTCATTTGTTGTGGAATCAAACTACACTGGTTGCACAGTATGTTTTACATTTACTAAAAAGGACTGACTCGTAAGAGTCATTCATTCTGTGGCCAGGCTACACTGGTTGCAGTAGGAATGCACGATATTGGAAAAAAACTCACATTGTGATATTTTGTTTTTCTGCTATATATATTGTGATATGAAATTTAAAAAATCACCAGATGACTTGAATAGCTCTATTTTGTAGGTGAGTAAATCAGTACAGAAAATAACAAACAAATTACAAGCATAGATAAATATAATAGAACAAAGATACAATTGAACTAAACAGTGCTTTATATTTTTCAGGTAAGTCTAACAGTATTCACTATTCAGGTACAGAACTTGAATAATCAAATGTAAAATAACACTGCATAGTCTTCACTGAATAAATTAAATCTAATTAAATCTGTTATGTGTGATTTTTCTCTATGTGTTTTGTTGTTTGATCAAAATTCATGACACAGAAAGCAACAGGATCATTAAACTGCTGCGAACCAATATACTGTTACAAATCCGTTTTCTTTTTCAATCGTTTAGCTTCACCTAAGCAAATGTGTTTACAAGGACACTTGCAGAGACATGCATTTTGACAATTTCACCGGTAAGTGTCATTTCAGGCACAAACAGACGAAATGAACGGAATTCGGTGTTCATGTGCATCTGCGTGGCTCTGTGTATGAGCACAGAAAACAGCGCATGTTCATAATTGAGCTCTATTTTGCGCCTTCTTGCACTCGAATGGTTTAAAATTGCTTGAATGTTTAAACAGACAGGACCTAAAACACATGCAAATGATGAACCTTCATTGTATGATGGTTAAACTTTGCAATTAATCCAAGAATCACCTGTGTTTCGAACCCTGGTACCTGGTTTATATGGATTAACGATCACTATACTATACATGCGCACATCGCGATATCGATGCTGAAACGATACATCGTGCAGCCCCAGGTTGCGGTGTATGCTCACTGTTCAGCACTCTAGATAGCATTGTTGGAGCACCATTAATTAATTAATGCAGGAAACTGTCAGCGTATTTCAGCATGGTATTTTTAATCCGCATTGTGGAAGAATTGTTAAAGGAATTCTGAATAAGAATCAGTTCTTGGATACCAAACCTATTGTGTCATTTTATAAAAAAATAATAATTTTATTTCCAAATGAGCTGCATCAACATCAGTCCCTATGGAGCAACCATGTTGTTCCAATCGTTTTGTCATTCTAACAAGTTGAAGTGTTTGCTATGCTTCGAGCATCTCTTTGGGAAAGCACAAAACCTGCTTAAAATAAATAAAATAAAAACACATGATATCTGACCAATTCAAAAAAGCATTTAAAATGTACCATCTGCTGCCTGGAATCTAGTTGTCTAACGCTTTCATGTACAGTCTCCAGAGACTGGAAACTATTTTCAGGCAACTTTAAACAACATGAATTGAGAGGAGCAGACAAAGCTCCCATGACAGCCGATAAGCACAAGCCTCTTTTAGCAAACATAAATCAGAGGGATATCTCAGATGACTCCCAGAGCTTTCAAATACTGCTAACCTAATCATAAATCAAGATAAAAGCCTCCTGTGATAAAGCATTAAAATATCAACTCAACTCACAGCATCCACAAACAGTCACTGCTGTAGGTTTTTCTCTCACACACAAAAAAAAGGAAAAAAATTTGCAGATGTCAACACTGCCAGCGCAAAGCAAAGAATAAGCAAGAAATTAGTCTGAGATGAAGATTTCAGACTGGATTTACATAAACAGTCAAGCAGAGGAACCACATAGGGACAAAACACTTCAAAACACGTACACACTGAAAAACACCAAATCAAAGGTTATAGTCCGCACAAATTTCAAATTATAAATCTATTTTCTAAATGCATCTTATTGATGTTATTGTGAACAATTTATCTATGAATGTTTATTTATTTTTCATTTTGGTCTTTGGTCTTCATCAAAAACATTATGACAATCCATTTCACTATGATTTACATCAGTATTCATTGCGAATTTAAGTTAAGCAATCATCTGAGGCTTTTGTTCTGATAGACATGGAAAGTAGGGAAAACAATGCTAAATACTTAACCGTTTAATTGCACCTTACAGGATTTTAACCATTTTTTTGTTTATTTTTATTTAAAAATAACAAATAATTTTTTTATGCTACCCATATTGTTTGCAGTTAATGTCACAGGCTGTTGAACAGTCGGTACTTAGTTGCAAAGTGCAGTAGTTCTGATGTTGTTTATGCATTTACAAAACTGTCAGATTTTCTTATGTAAATATCTGCATATTGTGTATTGTTCCTGGTTTTGGTTTTAAGAAGATTTTTGTTCCCTATAAACTTTTGATGTTTGATCTCGAATGACCAATTAGCACCCAAATTAAATCTGGGTCCTAAAGCAAAACCGGTTTTTAATGACTGATTTAGCACATTTTAACCTATTTGCCCTAATATATTAGGTTAACTTTGTTTTGTGTACGTCATGTGACATGTCAGGGTTTCTATCTAAACTGCACTGCAACTATCTACAGCTCAATGCTAAGTGGTTTGTTATTCCTGACATAGCTACAGTTAGTAACACTTGGCTGTGAAGTCGATAGTAGGCTACTCTGCGCGTTTCAGTGACTTGTTGGAATTCGGTACACCGGTCAGCATCTAACGAGTTTACAGAGGACTGTAAACTTCGATTTCAAGCAGTGTTCCAAAATACATAAACGACCTTGAACCAAAACATACTGTCATAATTCAAAGCTTTGCAGCATTATCTATAAAGTAAATCGACATTAGCTAGCATCAGCTAACCATACCTTCTGTCAGGCCCTTATAACTCCGATCCTTCGCTCTCAGAAAGACACTTTCGTCCCCTGCCATTGAAACGCGTTCGCTACCTAGTCTAGGATAATAAACCGTTCGACCTATATTTTCGTAAGTTTCGCTATCGTGTTTGGGCGTTCGTTGCTAAATCTGACGAAGTCATCGGTTACTTAATAACAGTGTGTTTGTGAATCGATGCGTTTGGTGATGTATTAGCAACGTCTGGAAATGTTCGTAGTGGACTCTTTGAAATGACAGGCTGACTACAAACGAATTAAAAGTCGGATCTCTAATGTTCATTATGGATATTTGACACTACTTTCAAAATGCACAGTAGCCTACTATATGATACTTTTATATAAACAGCCGAGAAAAACTTAAAAGATCAGGCTAGTCTACAATATTGACTAAACTAAATTAAAAATCTAAAATATGTTTATTTTTAAGCGTCTGTTGTATTGTGTTACAATAGGCCTAACTCGGTGGAATTGTTTCAGCAGTTTGCTACGAATATGATATTCGACGATAGACAGTGTTCTGATTCTGTCAAATAAATCAATGTATACTGTTTTATAAATATATGTGATAGCAGTGTCTAATAATAAATGTATATTATTTAATGCATATATGTTTCTAATAATTTTCATATAGCCTACCTATAGCAACACAATGTATGTATGCAGGGCGCAACTGCACATTTGTAGAGGGGTATGCAAGATCAGTGTCGGCGACCCCCTGTATTCTAGTAACTCGCGCAGAAAACTTTCTGCAAGTCAGTGACCAAAAGCCCATTACTATAGCTTGTGCATGGAAGGATACAAACTCATAAGGAGTAAACAAAAAAAAGTGACAAAGGATTGAACCCCCTTCCCCCTTTTTTAATACCATAGGGAAAAAAGGGAAAAATAAAACCAAGAAAAAAAGAAAAGTGTGTCACATGACATCCCCTTTAACTCCGGATGGCAGATCCCAGACAGTAGAACACGTTTTTTTATTCATTTTTATTTTCAAACACTTGTAATATTGCTCACTTTTTATATATATTATAATATTGTTTATTTGCCTCAAAGTTATTCATATTCTTGCACATTTTTATATAGTAAAATTTATTTGAAAGAACATCTGCCATGCTAAGTGGAAGATTTCTTTTTACTTCAGTTACACAGATGGCCTATTTTAAATTTACAACGGCAATTTTCAGTGAAAAGTGGCTAGTTTGTATCTTTGTTTACAATCTTCTCAGTTTCTCTCAAATGTAAATCAAATGCCCATTTACAAACATGTTCCAGATTTTTTAATATTTATTTATATTAAATATTTATCATTTATAATAAATTGGTGACAGTACAATACTGGACAATGATGTAATCTGCAGAATTTACACTTCAATTATGAGACTACAGTGTTTCCCATACATTAAGGCAGGTGTTTTTATATCACTGCTTTTCTGAAGGAAACCGACTGTCTTCAGAAAATTGGATGTCATTTTCATTTAATCTTGCATGTAATGTCTGATAAAGCAGTGTTTTTTTTTTAGCTGAGCCCTGCTTTGTGTACAGCCGTTACCTTTGGAAGGCGGGCCTTCATCAAACCCGGAACTAATCAAGCCGTTTGTACCAGGATGGGGAGAAAGGTAGCCTATTGTAATAATGTCAATTATGTACAAAATAATGCGTTTTTCGAACCACCAAGCATGAGAGCATGTTCTAGTACACCCCCAAAACAAATTCAAGACATTGTAAAAGAGCATAATAGGACCCCTTTAACACCCCCAAAATCTTGTTCTCCATCATTGTATAGGCCCACTCATGGATGAGACATGCAGATAACTATAGTCAACCTTCACTGAATTTTATATAATCAATGAACTCTCAATCATTCTATTCTAGCATTCTATTAGTTGTCAAAACTATTTAATTGCATCACTTTTGTCATACCTAAATCGAGCTCTGTACAAAGGAAAATAATGCAAGAATGTAAAATGAGTTATTTTATGCATTTAAATAATTTTCTTTTCATTTTCGTACTTTACAAATTAACGAAAAATTTGAGCATATTTTCAAGTACATTTAACTGCACTGTGCTCACATTTGGCCTACTTGTGCATTAAATTATATTAAAAAAATTACATAGCCTATCATCTTGACCCTATTGTGATCCCGAATTGCAGAATATTTCAGTAGGCTGCATGCTTTTGACAGACGTTCTTAAATGTAATGCACATACATGCATGCACAGTTTTGCAGCTTTAATCGCCATTTTGGTAATTTCGTGACTTAACTGACGATGTATGCTCGCAGTTTCTAGTGCTGTTTATTTATTATGAAGTGATAGAGCGTGCGCCTCATATTCGCATACAGTCGAAGAGCGTGCGTCGTGAGCAAAACGGCTTACAGGACAGGAACGTTTGTTTTACTGTCATATAACAATATCTCATCAGACCGCAGTTTCCTGTTGTTCTACTGAAGCTCATTTGGCACATGTACCTTTTCTGCGCTTATTTGACTCACGCCTGGTACAGAGGGCAAGCGGAAAAGTCTGAAAAGTCTTGCGTTTAAAAAGTCTCCCGTTTGTTGTGGTCGCAAAGAGATACGGCCGTTCCGCATCTTAATACGTTTTTAATAAATACATTTTTTGAACTCATTAAAATGCTAAAAACTGTTAAATAAAAATGTTGCATTAATTATTTTTTAAAGGGGTCATATGACTTTGCTAAAAAGAACATTATTTTGTGTATTTGGTGTAATGCAATGTGTTTATGCGGTTTAAGGTTAAAAAACACATTATTTTCCACATAATGTACATTATTGTTTCTCCTCTATGCCCCGCCTTTCTGAAAAAATGCGCATCTGAATATTTAGGTTGAACTGTTCCGGAACAGTGTTGTAAATACAACTTAACCTCTGATTTCTAGTTGTGTCCTCTTTTGGAAGGCCAAACAAAGTAGTTTCGCCTTCATAATGAAACACACAGCGTCTCCACAACATAGCAGCAGTGGCAACAATACTACAGCGAGAATCAAAGTTACGCCTTCTTTCTTTGCTGAACATTTGGGCGGCGTTTTGCAAATCTTCCCACATCGTGACGTAGACATGTGGGGGCGTGTTAGAATGAGCCGTTTTAGGTAGGCGTGGTTGACTCTTAACTTTTATAAAGAATATCTCTTTGGATTTGAGACTTTAGTCTTTGCAACTTTACAGATCTTCTTTATGCACCAAGAGCTTGTAACACTCCAAAGAGAAAGGAAAAATTGAAATCGCATCATATGACCCCTTTAACAACTAAGCTTTTAATTATTTATAACGTTTTATTAAAGAAGATTTTTACAGAATGATTTTGGCAAAATGGCGCCCCCCTATGTGTGGCGCCCCTATGCACTGCATATACTGTATACCCCGTTTTTGCGCCACTGTATGTATCTATCTACATAGAAAAACACTGTAAATCAATCAGGTATAGTTTACATCTGGTAGCTTACATTTTTTTAATATCAAACGTGGTAGGCCTACATATGTGGAGGTCGTTGCTGTCATCATGATGTTCCAAACCTGAATGACTCTCATAGCTCTCTTATCAATTAAAGTGGATGGGGATCAACAAATATATAAATAAATCCGATATCTGCAAAATCTGTTAATACAGGATTGGAATGGTACGATTGATCTCACTGCTCCCAATTCTGCCAGTAGCCTATACTGATTAAAATTATATGTTGTAAAGGAAGGGTTATAAAATAAAGCCCTAAGTTTAAAACCTTATTTTTTATTGGAATACTTAGACGAACGAAACATCCTTTCGCTGATATCCAAACACCAAACTCTTTTCTGTTCACTGAACGAGCAGAAAATGATAGTATCATGAACACGTAAATTAGATGATTTTATATGATAGAGGCAACGTCGAGACGCAACTCGCAAATGGGGAAACCCACCCATTGCGCAAAGAAACCACAAACCATTTAGCATTTGTGTTTTCTTATATGCACAGTCAAGTTACACTAAATGGAACTCGTATGCGATCAGTATAGGCTAACAGTATGTTGCGAATTTATTTTTTCAAGGCAGGAGCCTTCAACAGGTATTTTACGCGCCTAAGAAATGATATTCGTTTGCATGTTGCGCATAGTAACATAACTTAGACGGCAACTTTTCACTGTGATTCTTTACTACAGAAAACTTTTTTCTTGTCCAATCCCTCCCATGTCTCCTCCTTCCATTTACGCACCGTCTCCCACACTCAGCGCGCGCGCTCCACTGTTCTGTCTCAGCTCTCCTGTCATCATCACAAACGAAGACAGCCTTCAGTGTAGTTGGCGCAGTGGTTTCAGAGCGCTAAAAAGTATTTGAGAATCAACAGAACAATTGGGTTAGAGATCGACATCTGTCAGAGTGGACTTTACAAACATCTGCGGTCTTAATTTACCTCTTTTAAAATGCAAACCTCCACGAATGGCTTTGTTCACTCGTGTGGATTTATGCCCTGCTGTCACTGGTAGTACCAAGTCGTTTCTCTGTCTCAGTTTGTCCTCCAAAAGAAGCCTCCAGGAGACTACAGGATGAAATGGACAGTCTTGCTGTTAGAATACTTCTTGGTCAAAGTTCTGGTGCTGTTGTGCAGCGCGGTCGGGGAAACGCAGCAGCAGCAGCTCGAGGGCTTTATAATGCTCTCAGGATCCAATGGGTCCCGGGATGGGGAGAGCGTTTCTGAACCTCCACATACTGAGGACAAATGTCGGGGTTACTATGATGTCATGGGACAGTGGGACCCGCCGTTCGTTTGCCAAACTGGCAATTATTTATATTGTTGCGGCACTTGTGGCTTCAGATTTTGCTGCGCTTATAAAAACTCTCGTTTGGATCAAAACACCTGCACAAATTACGATACACCAGTGTGGTTAACAGGACAGACTCCGTATAAGAAAACCCTTGACCCTAGACACGATCCAACCAAGCATAAAACAAACTTGATTGTATATGTAATATGTGGAATAGTGGCAATCATGGCACTGGTCGGGATATTTACCAAACTTGGACTAGAAAAGGCTCACAGACCTCACAGAGAGAGCATGTCTCGGTAAGTAGCTATGTTGGCTTGAGAAGTCCTCATTTTCTTTTTGAATTTTGCCAAACTGCTTATGGTAAAAACAGTGTGCTTTGCCATTGATTTTTTTTCTTCGTTTTTTGTAAATGTGCTTGCTATGTGAATGTCTTTTA